AAAGGACATAATCCGATGGTGGAAATGAAGAGCCAAGTCGGCTTGCTCTTGGCGAAATATAGTAACAACGAACGAGAATATGAAAGCCATGAATACTCGACACGAACGATAGAGACTCACTCCACAGAAAACCCGTTACCAGCTGCGAAACAAAGTATCAAAACAGACTCCGCAGAAGGGACAGATGTCTCAGGTGGAGAAAACCACCTCTCGTCTAGCGAAGGAGACAACTCAATGAAGGGAAAACCCTCCGAACACGAACTCGGACATATCCAATTATCGAACAGTAAGCCAGACCCTCGAAGAAATAATGAGCTAGTTACGAGTGATATCATCGATTACCGAGAAGGCGTCTTACCAAATGCGAGGAAAACATTTTATAGGGAGGCATGGCCGAAAAACCGGGATAACGAAAAAGGAACAGTGTTATTCCTGCACGGGATAGATCTGACCTCTGCAGTGTGGATCAACATTGGAACATTTCAAATCTTAGCAGAATTAGGACATAGAGCATTGGCTGTGGATTTACCAGGACACGGGAATTCCGGCAATGAAAATATTCCTTACTCACGGGATGATATTTTGGGCTATATGACAAATTTATTCACTGCATTGGATCTCCATAAACCGGTGTTGGTTGCGCCGTCTAAAAGCGGCGAGTACGCCATGCCTCTACTGATGGCCTACCCTCGCATTCTCCGAGGACTTGTTGCTATAGCTCCTTCCAGCACCTCACAATACCTTCTAAAGGACTATGAGAAACTCTCTGTTCCAATGCTGGTTTTGTTTGGGGAGAAAGATCAAACAATGCTCAGCGCATCATCCCTTGACAGTTTGTTGCACGTCCCCAATCGCAAAGTTTATATGATCAGGAATACGACGCATGCTTGTTATGTGGATCATCCTCCCACCTTTCATAAACTACTCCTCGAGTTTTTGGACAGATTGGATAAAGAAGACCTTCATCTCTAGCTAGAGAAATCGCCACAAAGACAAAATCAGAAATTGTTCATTGCATTCGGTTGCCCACTAGGATCACGGTAAAAGCGACACTTGCGAGCCAACCTTTTCTTGTTCAAATGATCATAAAAAGCAATTCCAGATATGTTTTTTCCCTTTCAACCTTAGAACTCTAAAACATTCAGCCACAGGCCAAAGTTGCTTGCTTCTCCCGCCATAATGAGTCACATAGGTTTGCACGCGTGCTCTCCTCATATTAAAATAAGGAATTGAAATTTTCTTCGTGAAAACAATCATCATGCAATTACGATTCGCTTATGGAGGTCTGTGAACAAAGCGCCTCAGGAGAGTTAAGAGGGCTATCCCGTTTCAGCCACTGTAACACACCATAAACAGGTGGCATCTCTATCTTCACCAATCCTTGCATTTTAATACACATAGAAACTGAGAATTTTTAATCAGTACCATTCCCAATACAATAAATCGTTTTTATGTAAATGAAAATAAATAGGAGGTAAGTTTGATTTTCTTGTAGTGGCCATGGTATTAAGCGGATGTCGTAAGGAACACAGAGACTATGTCGTCGCCCGAAAAAATTAAACTGTTCTCCTTTTTCTCCTAGTTCTTTCGTTTTTATGGGCCCCTTCCCTTGTCCCCTCTGATATCGGCGCATGTTTTTGTTGAGCAAGGCTTGGTCCATCTTGACTCGAGAAAATCCTGCTCGATCAGGGATCAAAATATCCAATTTAAAGGGTTATTAGTGTCGATGCGAAGTTGGGTTCGAATTTCAGCTATTAAGAATAGTATTGATCGAAGTGGTAATTACAAACGGGATCTCAGTGGATCGCTCAGGGGAAAGCAACAAAAAGAACCAAAAAAGTATAAAGATTGAACGTGTAAATAACAAACAAACAGTGCAGAATCAGTTACAGGAGGCACAGAATAATCTTTTTCGGATTTAATGTTTGAGTGACGTTACACTTCAAGAGATAAATGCCTCAGCGAGGTTGAAAAAGTAACAGTAAAGTAAATGAAACGTAAAATCGTCGTTCATTTATTTTCCAGAACAACACGGGAGATGTAAACTGCAGCAGTAATTATATGTAAATTCCTTGGGGTCATGCACATTGGAGGAACTCAGCAGGGCGTAAGACCAAGGCGAGTTTAAGGAACGCCGCGATCTTATCTTTTCTGCAGGTGCTGCGCTAACGCCTCCAACACAAACAACGAGGAACAAAATCAAAGTGAACTTCATCTGAGGAAGCAAGAAAAACATTAAGTTGGCCACATTCTTCCGAAATGTAAAGCTACATTAAAGAAATAGAGAAACCTTGGCTGTGCTCTGTTCTGTTTCAAAGCACGCAGGAAGCGGCCAGAGCACGAAAGAAGTGTCCTCTTGAGTGATCTAGCCGCTTCCAAAGTGCTTTATAACGGAAGAGAGCAAAGACAAGGCTTCCCCATTTGTTTTATTATAACGAATCCGTTAAATTCCCCACGCACTACTATCAATTTTCAAAAAAAAATTTATTTCCAAAGCGAACAACAGTGTCGTTAACATGCTCTATAATCTCATTAAACAGGCTACAATAACCAATCAAAATGGTTCAATTAATCTGATTGGCTGAACAAGACTAGAGATGTTAAAAATGTCAAACCATCAAGGTTCACAAACCATCAAAGTTCAAAATCTGCTAAAGCTCATAAACTGAAATGGTTCGGCAAGTCGAATTTAACACTCGCTTGCCTGAGGCTTTTTAGTCTCAATATTCAGTGAATTGTTTTCTGCTCACGTTATCATAACGTCAGTC